AAATAAATGCAAATATCCTCAAACAACTATCGGTAAGTAGTCATCAATTATCTACTTCGTGACGACGAGGTTACAGTCACTGATCAAATCTTGTAAACAAGGCATGATCTACGGATACAGTGACCGAAGACAGAAGTGGACTTTTACTGATCTCTCGTATGCTTTTGGAACATTGCTATTGGCTTGAGGCTATAAGCAGGGTTGGATTGTGACTACTACTTTGAGCTTGTGCTTGATCACTGAGTAAGTTAATCTTAGTATTAGAGAGTTTAAGATTAAGATAAATATTTATTTATATACGTATAGCGGATGATTTTTTTTTTCAAATTAGTATTTATTGATTTTCAGCCCCCAAGTGACTGTGAACGTAACGTGTTGTTCTAATTTCGTTTGCGTTACGTTCTCGGGTGTCAGAAAACGATTAAGTACAAGCGCCCATAACGGAAACGTAACTGAAACAAAACCGTATCAATCCGTCTCTCAATTGGGCAACCAGAATATAACTATCCAATAAAATGTGTTATGTCATTTCACGTCCGGAATCTGAATTATTAGTTTGTACCCATATACATGGCTATCGCTATTTCCACCCACTCTGCTGAGGTCCCAGGCCTGTTTGCCGAATCCTCTTTCAGCAGATCAATGTCATGCGTTTTCAGTGGCTATAAATATCGGCTAAAATGCATCCAATATTTCTTATTTCATCATAAATATACAAAATCAATCAATATAAAACATTTTATCAATTTCAGTGAAAATTATTCAAAATTGACAGCGAGAAAAGCTCTCGGAAATCAACTACGAGTCAGTCACCTTGATCACGTTCAAAACGACTGCCGTACGACCAGGCAACCGATGGCGTCATTGGTTCGCGCGGAGGTCATGCACAAAGCAGTGACGTGTCCGTTCTCGTTCCGTTCTCGTATGCGCACTTACACAGTGCTGTGTACGGGTACGCGTTCGATTGATATATGTCCCCACCGCCCCTTACACGCAGCACTGTACGCAGGGCTAGGGACATTTTGCCTTGATCACAGGCGCTAGCTATTTTTGTTTAATGGCGAAAACAAATAAATGTTAAATGTGATCCGGCACAATCACCATTAAATAAGGAGTGGGTTGTGCTTGGTATGGTGTGTAGACAGATATATATCTCGTGAAGTATATATTTGTTCTCATTATCAATTCAAGACACAGCGTGTGCCCTTGACTTTTATCGTTCTCTGTGGGCATTGTTATAGTATGACTCATCATAGTTCAAAGTATGGACATTTACACTGTCTCTTAAATATTTTGATGGTGTACACGTTTTTAAGACAATTTTGAGGAATACATAGATTATGTACATTATCCTTGTCTGTTGTGGAACTGCTGGCACTATAAATTGTCATGTAGAAATTATTAATATCTAATATTAATTAACATATTCTTATGGGATTGCCTTTTACTAGTAAAATATTTGGAAGTATTCAAGCAAACAAATTATGAGGTATGTAATTCAAATCAATGCATGTGGTTTTATTTCAAGCTGTTGTATGTTGGTCAGTGTAACTAGCATACATGTATACTTGTTGACTTGTCTGAGTAGTGTCAATACAAGTACAATATTTATACACATATTGTACAACAAGATTCAACACCCTTTTCCTGTAATTTTCCTGAATAATTAACGGTTGGCCCGAACGCACGGCAAGGCTAACCGAGTCGTAACCTCGATGGGGTTCGTAACCAGTCTTATGATTGGTTGTTGACAAATATTCGACATGCCACGCCTCCAACTGTGCCGTGCGTTCGTCTGTTTTTTCCAGTTTAAAAAATATGAGCTCGCTGGAGCCTTCGTCACTTGTCTATTTCTTACACTAGATACCATCCGATACCCCCCCCCCCCCCGCTCATAGGGAGTGCGTACAGTTGATCATAGTTGATCATAGACTGGAGTTCAATCAACCCAAACAATCAACACTGGTAGTGGATGTCAGTCTGGTGTGGCTTTTTCATTGTCATGTGACATATATGTATATACTAAATAGCTACGTCACTGCTTCGCAACTAATTGTATTGTATTCCACGTCTGACGT